TGTAGTCCCAGCTATTCGGGAGGCTGAGGCAGGAGAATGGCGTGAACCCGGGAGGTGGAGCTTGCAGTGAGCCGAAATTGTGCCACTGTACTCCAGCCTGGGCGACAGAGCGAGACTCCATCTCAAAAAAAAATAAATAAATAAAAAGAAAATAAAAACAAAAGACATTGCCTTAAAATAAACCAGAAAGGAAAGACATCTCCAAAAAGGAAATAATCAGACAGATTGAGGATTTCAACAGCAACATTGGGAACCAGAATAGAACAGCTTCAAAGCTGAAGGAAACTCTCGACCTAGAATTATATACACAGTCAAACCATCGTGAAGGAATGAGGGCATAATCATGATATTTCCAGACAAAGCCTGAGTAAGTTTACTATTCTCAGGCTCACTAAAGTGTGTTTCTAAAAAAGATAAATTAAATCAAGAAGGAAGAAGTGGGTGCAAGAAGCAGTGGTAACCAAACTCACTGGTAAACAAAGTAAACCTACCTAAGAATTAACTGGAAAATACAATAGTACTAGTAATGAGTAGTGTTGAGCAAGTTGACAAGTTGGAGCTAGAACACTAGATAATAATATTGAAGTTAAAAAGATGAGAATCACCGGCTGGGCGCGGTGGCTCAAGTCTGTAATCCCAGCACTTTGGGAGGCCGAGATGAGTAGATCACGAGGTCAGGAGATGGAGACCATCCTGGCTAACGCGGTGAAACCCCGTCTCTACTAAAAAATACAAAAAACTAGCCGGGCGAGGTGGCGGGTGCCTGTAGTCCCAGCTACTCGGGAGGTTGAGGCAGGAGAATGGTGTAAACCCGGGAGGCGGAGCTTGCAGTGAGCTGAGATCCCGCCACTGCACTCCAGCCTGGGCGACAGAGCGAGACTCCATCTCAAAAATGAAAAAGAAAAATCAAAACCCTAGCCACCATAAAAGGAAGCTAACAAGGAAGCATGAATGGAAATAAAAGAAGCCTCCAGTGAGAGCCCACGACCCACAGCTGCGCCTCTCACTTACGGGGTCTGAATTTACTCAGTGAGTACTGCCAAGCCAAGAAATGTATAGAAAATCCCAAGCTTATGATATTCCTGAGGTAAATGGCAGAAGCAAACATGAAACCACTCCGTTGGGACACTCTCCAAACTCAGGCCACATCGAATTCTTTTGGAAAACAACAAAATAAACTAAAGATGAGCTCACCGTATAAAATTACAAAACATACAAGAAACAATCCAGCTAGAGTCAACAGAAAGAAATCAAGTGACTGCAGACTAGCCCAACCAAGACCTTAGAACCCCAATCTAAAAAAATATCAGATAAAGCTGGGTGTGGTGGTGCATGCCTGTAGCCCAGGCTACTCGGGAGGCTGAGGCAGGAAGATGGCTTGAACTCAGAAGTTCAAGACTGCAGTGAGCTATGATTGCACCACTGCACTCCAGACCGGGAGACA